ATTATTTAACAGGTAATTAAAACTATAGAAGATAACAGGTAATTAAAATAATAGGGGTTTCTGGCTTTTTAGAAAAATACAAATTCTTATTCTATATAAGGCATATTCACATATGTCTTTTTTTAAGTTGAATTAACTTTTAGAATTTCCAAGACCAACTTATCATCCATGAATTTTTCCAAATAGTAATATTTTTTTTTTAAGCCTTCTTTTTTTAAAAGACTTGAGGTATTGGGCCAAGGCAACATGAGTCCATGAGGCTATGCCCCCATCCCCCCTTAATTTTTTGATCTTTGGCATGTTTTATTGGTCCTTCGGCTCCCTTTCCTTACTAAAATGTTATGCACATGCATTACCAAAGGAAATATTTGTGGTAATAACTTGTTTATGGATATATGAAATTTTATTTCACCTTCAAGAAAAAACAAACCAAAAGTAATAAAAATTATTTTCTTTTAAATTAAATGCACTTCAAGGGTGGATCCAAACCATATAGAAAAAGAAGGGAGGGGGGATTTTCAGATTTTACAGATTTTGTATATCTAATAAGGAAGGAGGGGGAGGGGGCTACATTCAGGTTTAATAAATTTTAAGCAGATAATAAGCCTAAGGGGAGGGGGAGCAATTGCCCCCATGCCTCCTCCCCTATAGATCCGCCTTGATGCACTTAGAATCTAGGTAATTCTCTTTTTGCAGATTTTATATTGTTTACCCAAGATTCTGATACAAAAAAGTCATTTTTAGTTCACAAACAAGGCCGCTGCATGGAGAAACCAGTTGAGCGTGGTACAACCAGGAATGTTTATAATATTGAACATTATTTTCATTGGCGCACAAAATGTGTCTGTATTTTATTTTTTCATATTGTAAAAATTTACAAAATCCAAAATAGAAAAACTGTAAATTCCAATTTCAGAAAAATGATAGCAGGTAAACAAAAATGCAAAATAAAAGTACAGTAGATTCCCTTTAAGTTAAATCTTAAGGCTAATAGATGTCTGAACTAACGATTATCCCAGTTAAATGAAGCTCTCAGTATGTTGAATGTTTAGAAAATGTCAGACTTATCCTGATAAGTCTGTCATTTTCTAAAAGCGACTTAAAAAGTATCAACAGGATATCAACAATACTATTAACGAAATAAGAGAGTGACCTATAATCAAAAAAGTCCATGAAAATCTTTAGTTTGATGAATCATATTTGATGCAATATTTAACTAATTTTTAAACGTTCTAGGTTTCGAACTTTAAATAATGTTTTTGACTATCCTTATTTTGTTATTGTGTTATGTGTACTTATATGCAGTTCAAAATAAAATTCCTAGTTAAGTGAAACTTTTTGCTGAAGGGACCTAAAAAAACAGTATGAGTTAGGAACGGTCCAACTTAACCAGGCTAAGACTTAAACAGATGAAAAGTTGATTGAGAAAGTTCAAAGAAAATTGAAAATCTGTCCGACTTAGTAAAAGTCCCATTATCCAGGGTCCAAGTTTATAGGATTTTACAGTATTTATTTGCAATGATGATGTGATATAATTTGGATAAGATTTTATAATTTCCTCAGCATGCGATATGATGGGTTTACCATCCAACTTAAGTAACTTAGTCAGGAATCGAAGTAGTGAGTTCAATATCAAATATTTTCATCCGTTATTAGATAAAACGTCATTTATTTTTACATATATGTTCTCTATTTGAGAAACATGTATAACTTTAAAAACCTTTGAGGTTTAAACAAATTTTACGATATTATAAGATTTGAAACTCTTATATTTCTCCTTTATTCATTCCTATCTTAATAATGCTAACATAGCAACCAAT